TTTTAAAAAATTAACCCTTACATTTATATTCTAAGACTATAAGCTATTTAATTCATAACAATTTTTTTTTAACATAAAAAATAAAGAACGCATTACTCACACACTCATTTTGCTCATTTGAAGACACGATGAGAACCATCACCATTTATTTTGAGATGTACAGAAGATACCACTGGGCCACAAGGCCCTTGGTGATTCCTAACTCATTAAAGCACCTAATAATTCAATATGTTATCATTTAATTAGATGAGTCGCATATTTTTTTTCTTTTTGAAACCACATGAAGAATGAAATTAAAATGTTGAACAGTGACTATATCATTTCTCATTCGATTTAGGGCCTATTTGATTTCTCAATTCAGCGCTGAATGCAGAAGACATGGACCTACTTACCTTGCTTTTAGACCAGCAGCAGAGCGAACCCTTGTTTCTATTGGATTGGTGGTTGCTATCAAGACGATTTATTTTTACCCATCAAAGCACCTCAAGATGCTAATCCATGAAAAACGATACAAGAAATTCGAAAGAACTCATATACGAAACGAGGGCAACCCGTGGAAATACATCGGTTTCTGACTCGTGCAAAGGAACTATTTCTTGGCAACTTGGACAACTTATAACGATGTTTGTCCCGTATATCACTAGGAAGATTGGGATCTTTACAAAAGGCTTTATAAAGCTTTCGTCTCAATTCATATTTAGCCGCGAGCAATCTACGTTTGTGATCTCGTATATTTCGATTCTTCGACATCTTACTGAGTTTCCACCTCATCTTTGTGAAAAAAGCCGCTCCACGGTAGTAAAGTCTCATCTTGTGCGTTGGCCGAAGTGACAATTGTCACATTGAACCCTCGAATATGTTCGAAGATCTCGAAATGATCTGTAAGTTCCGGGCCGTATTACTACCAGTAAGTGATTTTAAAAAATAAGCGTGTTTGATAAAATTTTAGGACACAGCTTAATACGGTAATTACCGCTTAAAAGAGGCCAAAATTTTAAACGTTGGAAAGGTTGCTTATAGCTTATCGCAGAATACGGTAAGTGGTTGGGTTTAAAAAATAAATTTCTAATGAGTACTCTACCCTCATATAATTGCATTATCTCTTTTAGGGTTTTTGTCTGCGATTTCTCTATGGCCTCTCTACAATTTTTTTAGACTACTCTATGTGATTTCTCTCTGCATCTGAAAATATGATGAGTTTTCTCTTTTAAAAAACTCTTCTATATATATTTCGTTGGTTGTATTTTATTATTAGTTTTTGTTACTTTTACATGATTAAACAAATTCGTGAAAAATATTTTACCTATAATATTTTAAACACGACAAATAGCCTTTTGAAAATGAATTACATGGAACAAATTCCAAAAAAATAAAAAACATAATTCTACCTAATATATTTTAAACTATTACCATTCATATTGATTCACTATATATAGAAAATAATTATTTATATAAAAATTTTATTCAATTTCACGTACTTTCTTTAATATTGTTAACATCATTTTTATACCCTACATAAATATTATGTAATTATTTATATTTTAAACTGTTACCATTCATATTCATATATATATATATATATATAGAAAATAATTATTTGTAAAACAAAATTCTATTCAATTTCACGTATTTTGTTTAATATTGTTAACACCATTTTTATACCCTACATAAATATTATGTAATTATTTATATAATAGAATTTTATTCTCAGAGAAGAATTGTGAATATAACATAATTACTTTCTTTAATATTGCTAACACCATTTTTATACTTTATTTACTTATCATAAACTTTATTAACCATTTTAAACATATTACATTGTAGATAAATATTATTTGTGTGATGCTACATACACACACACCCGAAGATTTATGGTACCTTATCGTAATGTACGATATTGGTTTGCCGACTTTCGAAATGGTGGTCGTCCTAGAACAAAAGAAGAGCTGTTTAACCATACACATACCAAGCTAAGGAATGTGATTGAACGAACATTTGGAGTATTAAAGGCCCGTTTTTCAATCTTGAAAAGGATGGCACCTTATACATTTGAAGTGCAAAGGAATATTGTTATTACTTGTGTAACTATTCACAATTACCTTCGAAAAACTATCGTCACGGATGAACTTTTTGAACAGGATGAGACTTAAGATTTACAATTTGAGACTCCACCTAATATTGCTGAAAATTTGACATCCTCTGAAATTCACACTACAGAACGGCAATCCGATCAAGTGTTTATGGTTAATTTGCGTAACCAAATTGCAAATGACTTGTTTAGTTCTCGAGTTTGAAATTTTATATGTTTAGTTTAATGTAACATTTTTTAGACATTCACATTTTTAATGAGTACTGCTTGAATAATGTTAATTGTTTAAGTTTAAATTTATATTTTTTTTATGATTATATTTGACATTAATATTCATTGTTAAATTGATATATTTCATTAAGTGAATGTGGTTGTTTTATTAATATTTTTGTATTATAAATATAAAACTGTTATGAGAATCAGATATTAAGGGCAAAAATGTAATATCTACAACTTTCAGAGTTCAACTTTTGTCTATAACAAACAATCTTAATGAATTCAGCGCTTAAAATTAAAATGTTATCAAACAAGTTTTCAAATTAATACATTCAGTGTTTAAAGTTTCAGCGCTTAAAATTCAGTACTTGAAAATTTCAGTACGTAATTTTCAGTTTTATCAAACAACATCTTAGTTTCCATCTCTTATTGACCAATTATTAACTGGTCCACAATTTTTATAGGAAAAAAAAATGAAGGAAAATGATTGGTTCAATGCAGCAATTACTTATTGGATTCTGAAATATATGCATTTATATATGGAAAGAGCATCAAATTAAAAAGTGTAATTCATGAAGAAAAAAAAAACTAAAATTCTTTGAAGTTTGGAAATAACACATGTTTAATGTAAATTTTTTAACAATAATATTTTGCATTTTTTTTAAATTTAAAATTTTAAAAATGTTTATAAATATGAGTATACAAATAAAAAATGTAAATATTGAAAAAAAAAAATAAACAACTATAATTTTTTAATGCTTAGAAATAACACGTGTTTAATGTAATTTTTTTTAACAATAATGTTTTTGTATTTTTAAAAATTTTAAAAATATTTAGAAATAGGAAACAATTATTTAGATTCTGAAATATATATGTATGCGTTTAAAGAAAAATATCTATGCACTTATATATGGAAATAGACATATATACAAAAGAATATGAAGAATCAAATTTTAAAAGTGTAATTAATGAAAAACAAAAACTGAAATTCCTTAATGTTTGGAAATAACACACATTTAATGTAAATATTTTAATAATAAGTTTGAATACACTATACTAATCATATATAAAAAAAAATGATTGTTACACCGAATAGTTACAGTGAATTGGTAAAACTTACTCCTTTAATTGGTTAATTATGCAACAAATAAGAAAGTGTAACATATTTTAATATTTGGAAATAACACACATTTAATGTACATCTTTCAACAATAATATTTTTGTTATGTATGCATTTAAAAAACATATATCCATGCACTTGTATATGGAAAGAGCCATGTATGCAAAAGAATATGAAGGATCAAATAATTAAAAAAAAAAAAAAAGTGTTATTAATTAAAAAAATATGGAATTCCTTGGTATTTATTTTTTTATTATTTTACAACTCTACTTGTAAACAAAGAGTTTCATTAAACATCAACTCTTCACTTTTTAAAATTTCTCTTAATGTATTCTTTATTTCGTAGTCATTGTGGACTTAATTTTTATAATTGTGTTTGTATACGTTGTAATTGTTTTTATTCTAACTACTTGATATTAATTTTTTACAATTTTATATAATTTTTAATTACATACATAAATATTATTAATATTACTATTATTATATTATATATAATAGTTTTGCTTGTATCGTTATAATTATTATTGTTTACATTCTTCAATCAAAATTAATTTACATGTGATTCTAATTTAACCAACCTTTGTCAGTCTTTCCATTGCCACACTAAATGGAGTGGAAGGTCACATCACACCCTCTTGTTCTTAGTATTAGATGTTAGATTATTAAATATAAAGGGTCCAAACTTAACACTTTAAAATTCAAGGGGAATAATTCACTGCTAATGATATATTTATCTATATATATATATATATATAGTTTACATCTATATAATTATCTATATATATATATATATAGTTTACATCTATATAATCAATCTCTTAGTAAAATGCAATATACCAAATGAAAACATCAAGCAATGCACTCAACCCCCAAAATAGGGCCTAAATTATTCTCTATTTATTTTTTTTTTTTTTTTTTGGAAGTTAAATTATTCTCTGCTTAACGCTACATGTTAAGGCCGTTTTCAAGATAACGAGAGAGTAAGACGTTCCTTGCCAATCTGTTGCGCGTTCTATTCATTATCAACCGTGCGATACATTACATTAAACAAACTAATGCAACATGTTATAATTGATATTGTATTACAACCCTACAACACTATTAAATTAATAATTAAAAACATTTAAAATTTACATTTATTATGTTGTCGATACAGTACCATAGGATGTTGATCTTACAAATATATCTATACAAGTGAAGATATTAGATAAATCAGACATATCTCTGCCCAATCAAATACACCATTCAAATTTATTTTATTAAGGGAAGTTCTTTTTATTTAGGGAGATCCATTGCATTAAATGGTGTATTCTAATTCCAATATCCACTACTTCCACATAATCACCATACAAATCCAACCGTCCATATTTTTCCTTATTCCAAGCATTAAATCAGTGGATTGACTAGGATGCATTTTTATTTTTATTTTTGCTTCACGGTTACTCAAAAGTTGAAAATTGAAACCGTACTTAATTATTTATTTATTTATTTATTATTATTTTTTAAACATTCTAAAATAGAGTCCAATCCCAACTCTTTTTCTTCTGAAGTGATTCCTCCACTTTCGCTCTCTATAAATAGCACCATAAACTTCCACGTTCATATCTCTTTCCTCTTTTTGTATTTTCTTTCTCTCTCTCCTGCTTTTCTGATCATCTCTGATCTCTTCACTTTCTTTTCTGTCCACAAGTGAAGAAGAGTTGGTTGTGAGCATGGATGGGATTGAATCCAAAGTCATGAAAAACCCACATCCCAAAACACACAAATTGTTCATGGCTGCCCAATTTTCCTTCAGAATTTTGGCGATTGTGACCACATTAGCTGCTGCATGGACCATGTTCACTAGCAAGCAATCTGTTGTGGTTTATGGCATCGCGGTCGATGCCCGGTATAGCTACTCCTCAGCCTTCAAGTAAGTTATTCCATTTAACCCAACAAAAACCTAGAATAACAAATTTTAGATGAAAGAGTTTGAACGAAATCGAAAATCGAACATTTTTTTTCTTTTTTGCAAAAATACACCCAAAGTTGAATGATGTGGGACTCACTTGAGTGTATCAGGTATTGACTCTCTATTTCGGTCAAATTCTTTAGGGTTGGGTCGTATGTGATATATATAAAAATTTATATATCATGTCCCTTAAAATTATTAATTTTTTCTATTTTTCTTCTTTTGCTTTTTAAATTTCCTTGATTACCTTTTTTTAAAAAAAAATTAAATTTTTCTTATTCAATTATGCTCTAATTCATTTCTTTCCAAATTTATTTTTCTTTTCTTTTTTCTTTTTATTTTTATTTTTATTTTTTTAATTTTTTTTCAGACTATGCCCCTAATTGAAATATTGACTCATTCAGAATGTGTTTATTTGTGTAGATATGTAAAGACCTTTCGATCTTTAATTCTATCTGCGGATGTTTTTCAATTTTATATTATTTACCAATGGTGCCCAGAAATTAAAAAAATTGCAGGTTCTTCGCATTTGCAAATCTTATTGCATGTATCTTCTCTGTACTATCATTGTTTCTCGTTTTTGTCCTCGGACGAAAGGGCTCGGATGCAACCAACTTCTTCTACATGTTCTTGCACGACTTGGTAATTAACCTTTTTTATTATTATTTTATAATGATCATCACTAGATAGTTTTATACTCTTTTACTGGTAAAAGACTTAAATGGTAATTAAAATGGAATTTTTTTTTTTTTTTTTTTTGATATTTGGAATAAATTGAAATTTTTAAAACAATTTTTTTTTTAAAATAAATTTTGTACCATTTTAAAACATGAAGACAATTGCAATTGTGAAAGAGATTTGTAAAAAGAAGATTTCCTTTATAAATTTCATAATTAATTCCAAATAACTGAAATTATGTTTAAAATTTATGAAATCCTAGGGTCCCAAACATAGTGTTACATTCAATATCAAAGTTTTGAATTCACAAAACTCTCTTAAACTTATCAAAACTTTCCTAAATCACATTGATTTGACACATAACCTTCTTAGTATCAAATCAGTCCTGTATTAATTATAAAAAATCGTAAATTTTCATAAAAGACCATATCGTCCTATAAAAATTATAAAATGTCTCGCCGAATGAGTAAAATGGCCTCAATTTGAAAAGACAAAAATACTATTTACACTAGACAAACCCCAAAATTGGTCTATCAAATTTGTAAGAAATGAGGACCATTTCAATAATTTCATCTGTCAACTAACATTTGTACGACCTTTAATGAAAATTTATGATTTTTTTTATTAATACAGGAGTGATTTGATACTAAGAAGGTAATGTGTCAAATCAATAATTTCCATCAACATAGCAAGTTTTGTGAATTAAATATTCCTAATGCCAAATTCCAGTTTAATTGAGGGTATTTTACTCATTCAAAACTTTGGAGGCTGAGTCATTCTAATAGTTAAAAAAGCAGTCAGGTGTAAAAATAAAAATAAATAATATTTTTTCCCTAAAATAAAGATAAATAAATAAACATAGGATGTATCTATATATATATATAGATACAGATGAAATATAAAATTTGGTTTGAAAAATGACAGGTTATGATGACATTGGTGATGGCTGCATGCGCTGCGGCAACTGCAATCGGATACGTGGGTCGCTACGGAAACAGCCATACTGGTTGGATGGCCATTTGTGACAACTTTGCCAAGTTCTGTGATAGAGTCACTGTTTCTGTCGTCCTCTCTTACTTGTCTTTCATTTTCTATCTTTTTCTCACCATCATCTCTGCTAGCAAGTCTAGACAAACTCAAGTTTGAAGAAGCATCTCATTCTACTCAACAAGAAAGAAAAGAAGAAGAAGAAGAAGAAGAAGAAGAAGAAGCATCTCATTCTACTCAACAAGAAAGAAAAGAAGAAGAAGAAGAAGAAGAAGATAATGATGATGATGATGATGATGATGATGACCATGTTATGGTGGTTGTAGTTAATATGATGAAATGGGTGTTTTTGTAAATGTGTGTCAATGACAATGTACTTTCCTAGAAAGATAAAAAATAACTTTCCTCTTCTTTGTTGGTTGTTCGTGGATGAAAGTAAGCACAAATGATCCATTTACAAGCTTGTGATGCACTCAAAAATCTAATCACATTGCACAAATTAGTCAAAAAAAGGCTATTACAATATTGCCCTCTTTAATGTAGTAGTACTTTTTCCCTTTCTTATTTGCTCTTTGCGTTTGCATTTAGGTGTGAAGGTACAAATTGAGGTACAAATTGAGTTACCATTTGGTTTGGCATCAAAAGAGGGATATGGGTGATATGGGTATTTTCCGTGAGGTTCGATAGTGACACCATTGCATGTAATATATCTTCTTTATAAATGTGTTGCATGTAATATATCTTCTTTATAAATGTGTTGCATGAGGAGTGTTAGATCATTGTTGTTTAGTGGTGCACTTTGTGATGTACAGCGATGCATTGAGTGCACCGGTTAGCCCTGAATGGGATGAGGGACAAGAAGAGGATCCCGGTCCCAAGAAAGTCTACAACAGGTGGTATTCCTTCCGATGAATACTCTCTAATAGAGATGGGAGAGAGTTTTCAAGATAAATAGAGAGCCTATGTTAACACTTTCCGCCGAATACCACGTGTCAATATAGCCTCTAAGGTCCCACCCAAAGATTTTTCATAGAAGCTTTTTGCATAAAACCAAAATGCAAGAAGAAGAAATGATGTGGCTGTAGTGAATAGCAAACAGTCAAAGAATTTGGTGCTGGGCTGAAATGGGTGTCTTGTAATGTGTCAATGACCATCTACTTTCCTAGAAATAAGAAAAACAACTTTCCTCTTATTCGTTGGCAATTTCGTGTTTGGGCAAAGAAAACAAAGGAGTAAATATAGGAGGAGAATACCAGAAGAAAACAACTCTTGGACATGGTATCATTCCATAACCAACACATGGGTAATTAGGTGACCGAAAGGTACGTGTAGAAAAACACATCGTGCGTAAATGTCCAAAAAATAAATAATAAATAAATCAAAATGTATATTTGACGACTTAGACTCTTGCATCCGATTAAAAGCGTGCACTAAATCTTATTGACTCCACGACTATATCTGCTTAGGACCCACCCAATTGGGATTACTCAACTTCCAGGTTCACCATTCGAATTTTCTATTTTCATTGACATGTTTTGCAACATTTGTTTGATCAATAAATTCAATTAATCTGATTTTCATACATTTTCACTAGTTTTTTTTTAAAAAAATTATCATTATGCAAATCCATCAGCTGAGGTTCGTTTGTATTGGGCCGTTTTAGATTGGATAGGGCCAATGTTTTTAATGACCCGTGTTCGGCGGCTCACCCGTAGGCCCACTTGAGCAATCGCCTAACGGCCTCTAATTTGGGGAAAATTCCTTCTCTCTCTCTTTTTCTTTTTCTTTTTTTAAGTAATTTTATTTTTTAATGTTAGTCTTATTACAGTTTTTTTATTTAATGTATACTCTCTTCAATTTTTATGTGAAAAATAATAATACATTGAGTTACATCTCACACTTTTTTTTCATGTAGGATTCTTTTTACTTAATAACTAGGATTATGAATTTATTCCACTCTTTTTATTTCAAAATTGTAAATTCTTTAATTTAACTTTGTTTCAAGACACTGGAAAAAAAATAATAATAATAAAAAATTTACAAAATCACTCAGAGAAATAAAATCGCAGAACTAGTATTCAAATAATAATCCCATAAACTTTATTTATGTTATTAAGATTGAAGATATCCGTGTGGGTAGACGAGAGTGGTCTACCCACAGATTGAAGTGGTGCTAATATATATATATATATATATATATATATATATATATATATATATTTCTTGAAGATACCATATATCTCATAAGAGAGCAAACGAGGACAGTGACACTGAGAACAGACTGAAGAAACAGTGCCAATAATTTAGACTGAAGATACAGAACCAATAATTTATCCTCGATTACTTCATCATCTTTTTATTTCCATTTCTGAACTACTCTGTTTTATTTATTCATTTGTTCAATGCATTGAACTACTACTGTTGTTCCACATATAGTTTTTTTTTTTTTTTGATAAGTGTTCCACATATAGTTTTAAACATGATAATTAAATAAATTGGAATCAAAGTAAGTCCTCATCTCTCTAAAAGATATTGAGAGCATATGACCAACCACAAATGACAGATAATGGAAGAAAAATGACAGATAAATTCATTGGAGTAAAAGGTCAATAGTCCTACCTCAGATGAATCTCCTACTCATTGAGGACATAGTTATGTGTTGTTAAGGATGATCTATCACATTAGTAATTCAAACAACTGGAACCATTTTAGCATTTAATCCTCTTCTATCATAAATAAAAACGGTAGACCCGTGCACGAGACTCCCGCCATTGCGGAGGCAGTCAAAAGACGTACGCAGCCTTATGAATCTTGATGTCCAACAAAAGATGGCCACAGTCAAAATCCCTCTCAATTTAACCCTCGTCTCATTTCAATTTCAAAGCAAAATACCAAAAACCCTATGATTCAACACATAAACATAGCAAAGATTGGTTTTCAACCTAGTCCTATGTCAGTTTTCTAACTTGGGACAAAGCAATCAAACACACAGTATGTATTTCTGATGCTACAAGTGGAATGACTCTGAGGCACAAAGACATATAGATAGATTCTTCCCTGTTTGGATAACCAAATACCAATATAAGAAATTCAGTGTGGGTAGAGGACAATGCATAGGACAAATGCACATGGTATGCACCCACCAACCTTCACAGAGACACCGTCTATAAGTCCTTCAACAAACTACAACACCATCCTAAAATTAATTGCAACAATCCAATGTTTGTACTAAATAATTTTCATAAAGAGTTTATTAAGTGGATATTTTTCGGTGTTTAATACTACTGCAAAGGTTAAAAATAACACATGGCCTAGTGTCTGCGCGTACCATTAAGCTAATACACCATTAAGAGAATCTGAATGTTGCCAAACTTAAACTTTTTATTACTGTAAGAATTTAATAAACTATATGCGCATATTTTAGAGAATGGTTAGTTTCGAGATCGCATAATCTGAAGAATGGCTTCAATGTTTAGACATAATGGATGGCCTAATTGTAGATGCTCTTTAAGGTACATTGCTCCAAGAGTTGACTCAAAGCTGTAGCTGGAAATCCAAATTGGTTTTGTTCTTCGAAACTAGGTCGGTTTTTTACTATGATTTTAGAAAATTGGCCACGAACGAAATTTTGATCTGTTATAAATTTGTTTTCGACGCTCTTGGTTAAACTTGAAGTCTCCATATTCTCCCAAAATACCATTACTCAACATGGTCGTCAGTGACCAAGAGTATTGTAATATTTGCACACAAGTGACTGTCATCCTACCGCAGGCCGTTTAGCAGCCCTAAGGTTTTATTGTACAGGATCTAATAGCAATTAGGCCACAATTACGCCGAATTCATAATTATTGGCATCATTAATAAGTCAAAATTTACTCGGAGGAATATATACTCAATTATTCAACATGTGGCAATGGTACAGTCAAGGTATGAGCTCAGAAGATGAATTCATTATCAATTTATTGAGTTTTCAAAAGAAACAAAAAACACAAAACTTCAATCCAGTTAGTTCACCAAACAAAAGATTACACCTTTAACAGACTTTCACCAGCAATTAGACTACCAACGCATTTACTTTCTCTACCACAAATTCTAATCGCAATTTATGAACAAAGAAAAATGAACAATAAATAAAAATTAAGCACGAGTACTATACACATACAGGTAGAAGAATTACCGCAATGTCTCATCTCTCTTCTCCACAATCCGCCATTTCCAAATTTCTTCCGTTATCACGGTCTGGCGAAAACACCCCATAGCTTCCCCCGGCCAAAGCTCTCCGCCAGCTTCTTCGCCCCCTCGACCTCCATTTCCACAAGTTTCTGCAAGTACACATGGGCACCGGAAGCAACCATTTGCTTACGGCAATTCTTGGAATGCACAAGCGAGGCCAATATAGAAACAGGGTATTTCTTATCCAAGTTCTGTATCAAAGGGTCTAGAAGCTGAACTACAGAGACTATCCCTCTCTCTTCCTTCCTAAAAATCCTTCTATTACCGGCATAAGCCATAAGGGTCGACAATGCTTTTGCCGCGGCTTCTCTCTCCTCCGTTGCTTTACCATCCAACATTCTAATCAGAGATGAAATGCAGCCATTTTCGCCAAAGTCTCTTCGGGTTTTCGTGTTGAAACCCAGCTCAGAAACAGCTTTTGCAGCCACAATTCTCACTCCCAGCACCCCACAATTCAATACAGATACAAGCCGAGGTATAAACCCTTCTGAAACAAGAACCTCAGCTATCAGAGGACAAGAAGCTAAATTCCTCAAGAGATCAACAGCAACCTCGAGACTCCGAACCGTTGGAACAGAGTCCCAGAAGTTTTTCAAGTTCTCAATCCCACCTTCCCGAGCAATCAATAGCTTCAAATTCTCATCCTCCGTTACCAAATTGGACAAACACGCAATTGCATTTTCTTGTGCTAAAGCTGTTCCTGATGATGAAAGTGTTATGAGTACTGAAATCGCACTCTCTTCGATGAAATTCTCTTTGGTATCCGAAAACCCCGCGAGATTGCGCAGAACGCCGGCGGCCACCGCCTGCGAACCGGGCGTCCCGGCCTGGCAAATCTCTAACAGTGATGAAATTCCACCTCTGGACCCGATTGCCCTTGCGTTTTCCTTGGAATAGCTAAGTGCTTGGAGGGCAATACAGGCTTTTTCCTTCGAGAACCCACTTCCCGATTCGAGGACTCGAACTAGATGATTCAGAAGCAACAGTCCTTCGGCAATCAAGACGTGTTTGCTCGAATCCACAACCGAGATCCTAGCGACGGCCGTGACGGTCTTCTCTTTGACCTCCGGCGTCGAGCTCGAATCCAGTAGCCGCACGAGCACCGGGACGATCCCCTGCGCCACCGCAATCAACACATTCTTGTCGTCCTCCTGAAGCAACCCGAGCAGTGAGTCCAACGCCGAGTTCTTGGACTCGACGCTCCCAATCTGCAACCGAGTAATCAAGTTCCGAGCCTCGACTCGTACGGACTCCCTCTTCGACGTCGACGACGACCTCAGAACGGCGTCGTCCTGTAGCACCCCGCTCTTGATCAAAACGTCGGAGTCCCTGATGTGCCGGTCCAGCTTCGCCGAGACCGAATCGACGTCGTTCTGCGTCTTGAGCTTGCCGTCGGGGAGGGTCGGATTTCGACAGGCTTTAGAGAGGGAGAGTGCGTCGGAGAGAGTATCGGAGACAGAATGGAACAGTTCTTGAGACAGAGAGTTGGGAGGTGAATCGGCGAGGTCGGCGAGTTGGGTCTTGAGATCGGTTAGTTTGGTTCTGATCAGAGACCACTTGCCTCTGAAGTTCTGTGTGTGTTGTATCGAGTCCAATAGTGATTGAAGAAGCTGATTCGAAAGGTCAATATGTTCGTTTTCTGGTTCTTTCATGGCGGATTGCTGTCTAGAGAGAGAAAGAGAGCTGAAGTTTAGAGAGAGAGAGTGAAATGATAGGGATTTGTGTGTGGTTTGTACAGTTTTAGAGAGAGAAAGAGGGAGGCTTGTGATGATGAGTAAGCTGTGTTGGGTAACGACGAAGCATGAAATGAATAATGAATGAATGGGAAATGAAGAAATAGTGTACCAATACGCTATACAGAGAAGGGAGGCCCAGAACTACATGAAGCGCGTGAATACACGGTCTAACGAAATTGGATTAGATATTAAAACTTAATCAACAAAGTTTTATCTTTGTATAAGTATTGAAATTTTGAATTTCAATGCATGAATCCTATTTATCTTTCTACTTTATATGGAAAAAATTACAAATTTTTTTATCTTATTAATATTTGAATTTCAAAACGTAAATTCTATTAATCTTTCTATTTTATATAAAGTTACAATTTCAATTAAACTAAAAATATCAAATATTTACTAAAATAATTCGTTCCAATAAGTTTTGATGAACAATGAGATATCGGCAAAATTTAACTCACAGAATGAGAGTGAGAATAGAATTGCATGCTGAGCGTAAGGGCAAAAGCACTCAAATTGTGAGTGTCGCGAGAAAATATTGTACCGGGGATCATCCAAGCCCTTGCATGTGGTGGGACCCACCATCCATGATCCAACAAATCTCATATCAAACTCCCGAAACAATAATTTAATACTTTTTCATGAACAACACTCATGTAAAAGAATTAATGGGTATGTAACTTAAACTTTGGATGCTCTATAATTAGATTAAGAATTTGAGTTTTTAAATTAAGAAAGTCAAAACTTGTTATGTTATTAAAAAAAAAAAATAAAAAAAAACAACTTGTTATGTTATTAGTTAGAACTTAGAACCTTTTTCTTTTCATTATTTTTTACTAATTTAAAACTTAACTACAAAGTTGATCAAATTCGTAGGAACGAATGTTAACTGTTTGTTTATAAAAATAAAAATAAAAATTCAAAATTTTAATCTTTCAGTAAAAAATATGCATAGTATAGCAATTTGAACTCGTCTCAACTCTCAATTTGAACTCGTTTAGACTCTGATAATAATATAACGGGGCAAGTATAAAATAGTGGCAACCTGCTCCAACCTAGTGGTCAATTTCCTATCATTTACAAATTTTATTACATTTCTTAGTTTATGTTAATTTTAATCTCTCTTTAACTTTATAAACAACATAGATCATATCAAGTTTTTATATTAATTTTGATTTTGTCCTTCAACAATACGTTCCACATGGAATATATCTTTCTCGTACAAATATGCTGGTGGTCAAATCATGCTAAGTTTATCTTTTCTTTTTTGTACTATGGAGTCAAATCTTTCTCAAAAGAAGAAGAAAATTAAAAGTTGAATTAAACTAAATCATTTATTTTTAGACCAAAGTTTATTATTATTATTCTCTCTCTACCTCTATGAGAACTTGTAAGATAGAATTGCGTAATTGCAAATTTTACTCAAGATACTTTTAATTTTTCAAGTCTTGTGATGCAACATAAAATTTTAGAATGATAGTACCTATCTTTTATCAGTTGAAATCATTTTATCAAATCAATTTCAAATTTCATCAAATTTAAAATAACATCCAATTTTTAAATTAAAATCCCATCAACTCATTTCGAACATAGTGTTTTATAATTAAGATAAACCTCAAAATATTTTGATTTAACAAATGTAATCATTTTAATTTTATAATTTTTTCTACATTAGGTGTTATTTGATAAAATTTTAAAAATTAAAAACTGAATATTAAGTACTAAAGTTTTTAAGTGGTAATTGAAAATAAATTATTGGGTTAAAAGTTAGATTAGTAGATGCAAAGATTCGAAACTTCGCATTCTAAAAGTCACCGAAAACACTAACTCACTGAACTATTGAAGGATTTACATATATTGTCATTGACTTTGATTATACATCCTTCCAAAAATATTAAAACAAGAAATGAAAACAGTCGAAATTTCACACTCTAAAATTTACTAAAAATACTAATTCATTAAACTATCGAAGCGTCTATAACCGTCTATAACCGTTCTACTTGACTTTGATTATACATCCGTCCAAAAAACAACAATTAAAACAAGAAACGAAAAGATGGGGGAGGAGTGTGTGATAAATTATCATGATTTCAATTAAGAGGAGGCATGCATTAATATATTGCTTAAAAATGAAGAATGCAGTCAAATGAAGACGTGTCCCACTTGGTCTACCATGGCCGACAATAGAGCATTTACTCATTTCTTGCTTCAATGCAACCCATTTATTTCATGAAACCCCATATAATTTCAGTCTTTGGGTCATTAAACATGATTCTCTGTGTGTCATTATTTTGTATGGCCCACGTAACAAAAATGAAAAAAACAAAAAACATACTATTCCGTGTACAAATAGAATAAGGCTGTCTTCATTTACACCTCTCCTCAATAAATATATATATATATGTATTAAATTATTCGTAATGATATAAATCACATAAATAAATGTATTTTTATTTATTTTACAATATATAATTGATTGACACTGTGCTCCCTGTCCCACAAAATAACTATTAAAGAATGCGATATTTAATACTTTTTTATTAGTAAGTAATTAAATTTCAAATATACAGTGAATTCATATAACTTTAATTATTTTTATAACTTCAATTTAATGTAAATAAATTAGAAATATTAAAAGAAATAGTGCATTAAATTTTGAAGTGAGACAATCATTGTGGGACAATCAAATCAAAAATAAAAATGTGAACATTTTTTATCCAACCAAGGGAATATTTTTTAAGATAAATTATACGAACTTTCTCTATAATTTGTCATAATTATAGATTCCTCCTTTATGGTTTGAAAAATTATTCAGACTTCCACTACAAATAAAACTAACCTATATTGCTCCCTTTTGTTATGGTCAACGCAAGTCAATGATAGATTTTTACTAATATCATGTACTGAATAAATTAAAATTCTCATATTATCATCCGTCCAGCTCCTCTCTCACACACATAAAGATAGTACTACAGTTATTTACAACAACTTAAGGGTATTTAAGTAAATTAGACAAATCTGTTAGTGTATTTAACTGTTGATCACTAGGAAGTAAGATCTGTGTGAGTTAGTTTCATTTTTATAGGAGGTCCGAATAATTTCTTAAACTATAGAGAAGTTCCATATAAGTTATGACAAATCGGGTAGGTTCTTTTAATTTACCTTATTATTCATGCTAAGTTTGAGAAGGGAGGAAAAAAAAAAAAAACTATTATATGGTAAAATAAAGGGGAAGGAGGGGATGAGGAGTGAAACATTTTTCCAAATTCACCAATTTTTTTGGTCCAAAAGTTAGGGAAAAAAAAAAAATACATTTGTTGGCTAAATTAATAATAATTTATATTTAAGCATAATAAAATAAAAACAACGTTTAATTCTGTTTTTTTCTCTTATTCAACTATATAAAAGGTGGGATCAACACTTTGATTCCATTATTTTACAACTTTTTGTACTTTGTAATACATAATATACTTGTTGAGCCCAAGTCTCAACATCAACCTCAAATACACACACACACACACACATATGCACGCGCTGTTTGAGCAAGTGAATTACAGTGGTTGTCCATTAGCGGTAATAATAGAACCAATAAAGTCGACATTTATGAAGTTGACAGGTAGACTATTGAAAGTTCCAAGTTTCTTCGTCGTTCACTTGCTCCTCCTCCTCCTAATCTCACAGCCTGTGATCAAACTTTTTATCACAGCCACTCTTTTCTCAGCTCTAATTTTAGAATAAATACAACACAGTAATACAAAACTGCTTTAAAAAGAAAGAAAAACAAGTATTATACCCCGCCAACTTGATATTTTGGATCGACTTTAAATTAGTCTCAATCCATCACGTTAGACTTAGATTAATTAAATTAGACTGAAGGAAAATTTGAATTAATATTACTTACCCATTTATTTTTTTGAATTAATATGAATTTTAATAAAATTACTAACAACAATAAAAATATAATTGGTCCAACTCAACTTCTTTATATTCAAATGAAAAATATAATAAAGTTTCAATAATATGTTTGTGAGAGAGTTGACACAAGTGCGATTCAATTTGTACATTATTTTTTTAATTAAAATATTAAAACTATTTTAAAATTCATTTGACTCGGTTAAGATGCACCACTTAATTCTAAAAAATTAACTCGTATGACTCGGTCTTAAAACTCGTTCCATCAAACTCACATCATCCCAATGACTTAAAAACATAGAAACCCTAACATTTGTGTTAGGTTTAATGAAAAGAGGTCAAATGGTGGAAATTAGATAGTCCCAAAAGTTGATTAAAAAAATTCAATATACTGCTTTGATTAGGTTTCCTTGTCCGTTTATTTTTCTTATTTTGGGTAACGTGTAGGATGCTAGTGATTAATCCCGCTGTTTAAGGACAAAAATGACCCTAGAGTTTGAGAAAATTTACTGAGAAAATTTGCCGGGAAGGGGAGAGAGTTGAGTGGTGGCGGGAAAAGGTACACCTTTATTGGAATTGGAATGAGGTTTAAGGTTTTAGTCTTCCTTTCACAAAAGGCTAAAAAACAAAGCAGCGAATAGTTGGAAAGCTTAGTCGTGAATCTCTTGATAGGCTGATCTCCCTCAACCACGAGAACTTATTCGGTGTGTCGGGTTAACTAGTCGCATCAGAATCGTTTATGCACAAAATGTTAAAAAATAAATAATTATGATGACCTCATACATCAGATACACATAATATATTCTCATCAACCATCATGGAGTTCTGACCGTCAAACTACCACTTTTCAAGTCATTAGTTAAAAAATATTTGAATATTTTTTCTGACCAATCACAACAACAAGCGTTACATTAATATACAGGAGAAAAAGAGTTTATTAATTATTATTTTAAATGAATAAAAATCTTCTATTATGTATATAAACCCATTACACTTAATGAAATTACATATTTGAATATTTTTGGATATCATAATTACACGTCAACATTAATTTGTTAATAATATTATGTGATCAATATTATATGGTATCATCATTAATGATATTCTACTACAATCTTGTTCCACTTGTTCTTTTAAAGGGCTACCACACTTCACTTGACGATTATTTCGA